CGTCATTTCCTTAATTCAGTTATTCACTTTTCAGCAAACACACACACAAAATGTATGTTTTAGAAGCAAGCAATTAAAATCATTCAAAGGCTAATTAAATCAATGTCAACACTAAATTAGAAAACTATTAAAGTGAACCTCAAACGATTCAATCTCTCTTGTGGTCTAGCTATGGAAAATAAATAGTATCTATAAATATAAGTACAATTCTTGCAGAGCAAGAAGTTAATAAAAAAATAGGAGATTTTTTATTATAACACAGTTAATTTATTTTCCAAAAGAACATGTAAATATGTTTTATATCTCTAAATTGCATCTACTGAAGAAACTATAACATATTTCTTCCAGCCTTATTTTTAAATCAAAGCCTACCTTTTTTTTTTTTAACTGAATAACTATAAACTCCTTAGTAAGATTTGATTAAGTTCTATGTCAGATGATCCTTTTTTTCTTAAATACTACTTTATGGAAAGAGCCAATCATTTGCATATAAACTAAGGCAGAGGAACACAGAGAAAATTAACAATAGTATAAACACTAGGAATCTCCGAAATCATTCCAAATAGGCCATAAAACTATGAAATGGTTTCAGAGTCACTATTTTCCTAAAATTAATACTTATCTTTGAAATCTGGTATCTTTGGGGCGCCTGAGTGGCTTGGTCGGTTAAGCTTCTGACTTCGGCTCCAGTCATAATCTCACAGTTGATGGCTTCGAGCCCCGCGTCAGCCTCTATCCTGACAGCTAGCTCCGTGTTTCAGATTCTGTGTCTCCCTCTCTCTCTGACCCTTCCTTGCTCAGGCTGTCTCTCTCTTTCTCTATCTCTCAGAAATAAATAAAACATAAATTTTTTTAAATAAAAAAATCTGGTAACTTTAAGAGAAGTATTCTCGATCTTAATAGGAACATGCATTTGTTTGGTACTATGGTTTTTAAGGGCTTAAACTATATTATTATTTCATTTAATTTATGAAGATAAAATAGAGTGAATTATTTTATTTTATATTTTATTTCATTAAATAAAATGTTTATGTCGATGGTTTTAAATTTGGACAAAGTCATGATTAAAATGAAAAATGTTTTGGAGTGCCTGAGTAGCTCAGTAGGTTGAGCATCGGGCTCTTGATTTCCATGGGGGTCATGATCTCATGGTTTGTGAGAATGAGTCCCACCTCAGGCTCCGTACTGAGCATAGAGCCTGCTTGGAGTTCTCTCTCTCTCTCTCTCTCTCTCTCTGCCTCTTCCCAGCTCATGCTAGCAATCATACTCTCTCTTGCTCTAAAATAAAAAATAATAATAATAATAAAAATAAAAAATATTTTAAATATGTTCCTATAGATCTACAGGAGAATTATTCATACTATTAACCACACATTGTTGCTGCTTTTTTTTTCTATTTCAATAAAGTTGTGACTGCACAAAACTCTAGTGTATGAAATGCATTAAGGTTGTCGTGATTATTATAAAGTTATTGGGGAAAAAAATAAAAAGATGAGAATTACTGGAATCCACCAGCATTATATACTGAGTATATATAAAATATTTATAACATTTTCTTTCCATTTTTGGGGGGCGCGGCAAATGAGTTGGAAATTGTGCAGTTCGTGGGGCTCCTGGGTGGCTCAGTCAGTGAAGTGTCCAACTTCAGCCCAAGTCATGATCTCATGGTTCATGAGTTCGAGCCCCATGTCGGGCTCTGTGCTAACAGCTACCTCAGAGCCTGGAGCCTGCTTCAGATTTTGTGTCTCCTCTCTCTCTGACCCTCCCCTGCTCACGCTGTCTCTCTCTCTCTCTCAGACATAAATAAAACATTAAAAAAAAGAAATTGTGCAGTTCAGTAGCACAGATTTATGATCCAATTCCAATGCAATTTTATTAAACTGCAGTGTTGTTAGGCAAATATTTTAAAAAATCAAGATGAGAAGCTAACACACATCCTATTGAAAGAAGTAAGAGGCAAGAAAAGCAACTAAAATTTTTTCATTAAAAAAATTAAATACACCAACAAAAAATCAAAATTAGGTATGTTATATATATGTATATTTGTCATCATTATCATCATCATCATCATCATTATTGCATAAAGATGCCCAAATCTGGTAGAAGAAAACTACAGGAAAAATTTAAATATATAACTCAGTCCAGTGATTATTCTTCCCCTCCTCATATAAGTGTGCCATGGAAATACTATCATTTTATGGGTTATTTAGTGATAACTAAATCAGTTATTTAAGTCATTGGTTGAGCATCTGACTTCCACTCAAGTCATAATCTCATGGTTCATGAGTTTGAGCCCCGCATCTGGCTCTGTGCTGACAGCTCAGAGCCTGGAGCCTGCTTCAGATCCTGTGTCTCCCTCTCTCTGCCCCTCCCCTCCTCCCTCCCTCCCTCCCTCCTCCCTTCCCTTCCTTTCTCTCTCTCAAATATAAATAAACATTTTAAGATTTTAAGAAAAGAAAGCACTAAATGAAATATGGTTAATCTCTCTATCAGTCTCATAACAAATATGGACTTAATCACAACTGATACAGAATCATGATATCTAGTAATAATGATGTTTGTGAGATAAGTATTTTATAAAAGGAAACTTTGATAAACTTTAGTCCAGATGTTATAGTCCAGATGGTAAAGTTGGATAAATTATTTTACAGAAAATTAATGCTCATTGACTATCAATAGTGTAAGTAGATATTTAGCTAGAAGTTTCTAGCATGTTAATTTTAGAGAATTTTAATAACTGCTAAACTGATATCTTAAAGAATTATTTTACTGCCGTCTCTGTAGAATTTATAAAGTGTATACATGTAATAGTTTTATTAGCATATAAGTGTCGCTTTAAATTACAACACTGATCCTCACATGATTTCCCAATACCTAAGGAAATAGGAGGTTTTTAAAAGATTTGTTAAAGCACAAATTATCCCTGATGGCATGATACATTTGTGCCTGCACCTTAACCTCCTCTCATCATCTTGTAAAGTGTCCAGAGGAAAGCAGAGCAGTCTCAGAGCAGAAGTTGCTTCCTTTACAATGAGTTTAAAATCAACCTTTACTTTCTCAAGTGCTGCAAATAGTCACTATAATTAATGTGGTTGTTAATCAAGAACATAAAAAGAAAGTTTAAAGGTGATATTGCAGATTACAATTCCTTTTGTTAAAAAAGAAATTTTAAATTCAGCGCTGTTCGCTCCTTTGATTCCAGAGATAAATATGGTCAGCTAGGAAGATGAAAGTCGTTTTCATCTTGGATGAACTTGGTTGGTAGCCGGCTGGGGTGCCCTTAGGAATCCTTGCTCTTCAGGAGGGGCAAGCAGACTTTGCCATTAGCCCTCCCCCTCTGCTGACACCCTTCTCTGTTGACCTGGCACGCACCCCTCTTGATTCTGACTCTTCCACCTCAGGAATGGTGAGAAAGGAAGAGGCAAACTAAATGGGTAGCAGCAGGGTGGGGTTAAAAACTTGGGGATAATAAGTCTCTTGTGTCTCTGAGTGTTTTTTTTTTTAATGTTTTATTTATTTCTAGGAGAGAGAGAGAGAGAGAGAGAGAGACAGCGTGAGCAGGGGAGGGTCAGAGAGAGAGGGAGTCACAGACTCTGAAACAGGCTCCAGGCTCTGAGCTGGCAGTCAGCACAGAGCCCGACGCGGGGCTCGAACCCACAAACCGCGAGATCATGACCTAAGCGAAAGTCGGACGCTTAACCGACTAAGCCACCCAGGCGCCCCATGTGTCTGAGTTTTTTGAGGGCAAGCAAGAAAGCAGCCTTTTTCTAAGTTCTTGCTAAGACAATGAAGGTTATCCATTCATTTATTTAGTGGACGCAGATATGTTGTTCTCCCACGCTGGACCCAATGCACTAGTAGATCAGTGTTCATAGGTTATAGCTGGGGATATGGAAAGCAACACAATTAGAATAGCCCTGATAAATGATTTGTAGCTCAGTTGCCTTCTATTTGATCCTGTTTGAAATGCATGAGAAAAGTTCACACAGGTAATACATGAGAATACTTCTACCATGTGGATCCACTTTTGCTGCAAAATATTACCCACTCATTCCCCATCTTTTCTGGTTTGTGAGTTAGTTTTCTATACCGGGTTTTTGTAAAGAGTCATTCGTGGACTAGTGACAGGTGCTACATTTCTCATTAAAGGGGTGATGATTGAGGGGGTGAGCTTCTAACATTTGATACAGAAATGTGTCCTTTATGGCATATTTACTATGGCAGACATTACACACCCAGCATTTATGAGTTATACAACAAACCTCCCTCCGGCTACATCTCACTGGATGAATGATTGCCTGCAGCCATGATTAAACTTGTTTTCTCTTTGTGGAAATAAGCCCCTCACCCAACCATTGTTTACTTTCCACTCATATATATATAATATATATGTATATACATATACATATATGTTATATATAATATGTATATATAATACATATATTATATACATATATATGTATATATACATATATATGTATATATATTATATATGATTCTTATATCACACATTAATATTATATTATTATTATGCATTATTAAACTGAGAGAATACTGTTGCTAGTTTTACCCTTAAAAATTTTTTTTAAATGTTGTTTTAGTTTATGGCAATTTCTATTATTTCATAAGGTGTTTATATATTTGTGTCACTTTGGTGTAACTTGTAGTGGGTGTGAAGTGTTGGTGAACATAAACAGTTGAATCGTTTCATTGAAATTAGCAGAACACAATACTTTAGAGCCTATTAAATCAAATAAAATGAATTACCAAGACATTGTAATTAAAAGAAATTGCAGCAAGTAAACATTATTAGGCCAGAAGCAGCATTATCAGTGGCCTCTGTGGACCTCGGGATACCAGACGTGCCATTGGGAATGACTTTCTGATTGAAGCCATTTCCATTGTTTCAGACCAAAAAAAAGTATAATAAGTATTTACTCCAGTGCATTTTTTCTAGTAAATAGCCACCAATTAAATATATATTATTTCTTATCCTCCAGGCAATACGGCTAAAGTGTATATTGAGATTCAGGATGAAAATGATCATCCCCCAGTGTTTCAGAAAAAATTCTACATTGGAGGTGTGTCTGAAGATGCAAGAATGTTTACCTCTGTGCTCAGAGTTAAGGTAGGAGAACTTTCATTAAGATACAGAGCTAAGGTAAAAGCAAAGAGCTCAGACTGCAGATAAACTGTCACATGCAATTTACATTAGCTGAGTAAGTTCTCAGTGTTCCTGTTGTTTAAACAAAAGTCTAAAACTTGGAGATACATGAGTTTAATTAGCAAAACTAAATATGGATTAATTAGGAGCCTAATACTATGCAACTTTTATATTTTTACTACACAACAGGAAAAATTACTTACGATAATTTACACTGAATAAGATATTAAATTATTAGAATGTATGTTACCCAGTAGATATGATGCCTCTCATAGGTTTAGTTCAGGATAGCTCCAAAGATGGCAGAATGGAGTTTCTCATGGTGAATATAAATTTACCATTTTTTAGTAGAAGAAATAACGTAGGGGCGCCGGGGTGGCTCCGTCGCTTGAGAGTCCAACTTCGGCTCAGGTCATGATCTTGCAGTTTGTGGGTTCGAGCCCCATGTTAGGCTCTGTGCTGACAACTCAGAGCCTGGAGCTGCTTCAGATTCTGTCTCTTCTTCTCTCTCTGTCCCTCCCCTGTTCGGGCTCTGTCTCTCTGTCTCTCTCTCTCTCTCTCACTCTCTCTCTCGCTCTCTCACTCTCTCTCTCTCAAAAATAAAGAAACATCAAAAAAATGTTTAAAGAAGAAATAATGCAAAAACTTATTTTGCTGCTATATTATTTTAAAATTCAAAATCATAAATGTCAAAAACAAGGGTACTAATTTTAGCACTTTACTAAAAGTTAAAAAAAACCAGATATGTCAGAAAAAATTGCAAATCTACTTAGAATTTTTAAAAAGCACAATATCTAAGGTTAACATTGATAATTTTTCACTTTTCTCCTCTTAGTTATCATCAAATATGTTGAAAGATTTTGTAAATGGCCAGGGGTACATAAAGTTGTAATAGTTTTATTACTGGGAAACAAATAGATAAATATTGTATTACATGGGGAGAAAAATTTGGAAGCTAGAGCAGTTTAGATGCTTAAGTACAGTTATTTTTGAAAATATTTTATTACAGTTATTTTTCTAAAAGTATTTTCAGACTATATTTTGAAAAACTATTAACATACACACAGAAAACCTAAATTTTCCCGAGCAAATCCCACTCATGAAGAGTTTCCTTTATGTTCTTGTGCCAGAACCATGATTAGAGCTCTTCATGCATATAGTTTTATGATGTTCTGCACAGCAGGTGTGAAAGAGGAAAAATTGACCGAGCAAACGCACATGTGAGTTATGCCTGTGAAATAGCTCCTTCATACACTGGTGCCTGATAGGAGTTACCACTTAGAGCTCAAAGTGGCCCACGAGTGGTCAGTCACATTCCGTCTAAACTACAAGATGATATGCAAGTAGAAAGCAACTCCAAAGGAGTTTATTTGTATCTTGTTTTACACTTTAGTCCCAAGAACTGTTGACTGATTCTGTTCACTTAGTTGGTATTTTCTGAGTCCTTGTACTGTGCATTGTTCTAGAAGTTGGATATGCCAGTTCAAAAAACAATCAAACAAACAAAAACAAAGTTACCGCCTTAGCAATACAGAAAAACTGGTGTAAGATACAAATAATCAATTGAGACAGTCGGTAGCTATTTAAGACAAAGTCATGGGATCAGGGGCACAACTTGTGGATTCCTATGTAAGGTACATTCTGCCCATTCCGCTAGCAGGTCCCTAAAACTGGAGGGATGGAGAGGTCAGCATGGCCAGAAGGCTGGTCAGAGAGGAGATTGGAAACACAGCCCAGGACTGGAATATGGGGGTTCTCCTAGACATGTTAGAAAGGAAGTCTTTTTACTGCTTTGTTCAGAGGCATGACATAGTCCAGCATAAAAGGATTATGCTTGATGTTGTGCAGATCGGAGTGTCAGACAGAGAGCCCAACACATTACTTTCCAGGAGAGACTTGAAAGTGGACTGGACCACAGTGGTAGGCGGGGGCAGTGGTCACAAGGGAATCAAAGACAGCCGAAAGACTTTGCTGATGGATTCTACATGGGGCATTGGAGAACCTCAAGAATGATCCTGAGGTTTGTTCCTAACAGGCCCCCCTCCCTCCCCGAGGCACTGTGGTAGCAGGAATCAAGAGTCCATCGTTAACTCTCAACTTTATAGAGATTTTATGGGGTGGAGGCTTGTTTAATATGGCAGTTGCAGATGCAGGGGGGAGGAGGAGAGGAAGGAGGGAGAAAAAGAGATGGAGATGGAGGTGAAAAGAGGAAGGGGAGGGAGGCGGAGGGAGGGAGAAAGAGAGACAGGGAGAGGGAAGGGGAGAAAGGGTGAGAGAGGGAAGGAGGGAGAGGGACTTTCACACTGCATTGATGCAAGTACTTGCTGTAGTAATCAATCTGCCTAGGAACGCACAACTGTCCTGTGGATCCAGAGGCAGAAGACAATGCACCTAGTGAAGGAGCACAAGTGCTTCCTGGAGGAGGAAGACTTCGAGTGGCCCTGTTAGGGTGGTTACATTTTCTCAGAGAGAAGCTTAAATAGGGCCGAGAGCCTCAGCAGAGGAAGCACAGGGAGCCAAAGCCCAGAGGGAGAAAGTTCTCCCCAAAAAGTGAGCAGGAGCTCAGGAGGTGACAGGAGTCATAAATCTTACCTGGTGGACACTTTCCAGAGCTGCTTTTAGCCTTGACTTCTGGAATCTTCTTCCCCAATTTAATCAGTGAGAGTGAGCTAACCCCTTCTTTTCAATTCACACTTAGAGCAGCAAAAATGTTATTGGAAACAGCACAGAATGTGGGTCAGCCAGGCTCTGGCGTCTGATGCAGAGAACACTTGCTAAACAGGAAAGCCGCCCAGGACTGGGAAGGAAGTTTACACCACTGTCCGTGGAGGTGGGGTGTGGCAATAGACCTTCTACTATACGTGCAAGTTAATTTCTTACAATTCATGGGGAAATGCACAGTGGTACATTTTCAATTTTAAAGAATTGTGTATTACAGGAAGAGAAAGAGGAAACATTATAGAATTGACTAAATAAGATGAGACTTTAAAATATACTGGTAAATTTGGGCACCTGGGTGGCTCAGATGATTGAGCGACTGACTTTGGCTCAGGTCATGATCTCACAGTCCATGAGTTTGAGCCTCGCATGGGTCTCTCTACTGGCAGCTCAGAGCCTAGAGCCTGCTTCAGATTCTGTGTGTGTCTCTCTGTCCCTCTCCCGCTCATGCTCTCCCTCTCTCTCAAAAATAAATAAACATTTACAAATAAATAAATAAAATATACTGGTAAATGAATATACTTACTAGCTTAAGATGGATAATAGACTAAGGGCTTTACTAAAACATGCTAAGGAAAAGGCAACACAATGAGAACATTATTGAAATGATTTGTGCTTGGTAAAGGATAATAAAAGAAAGTTGTGTATATATGCTCTGAAGTGGCATACCTAATATGCTGAGAGTTCAAAGTTCACTGTTTTAGAAAATCTGTATTGTATTCCTGATATGTGGAAAATACGGGGGCAAACAAAATAGACTGCCTTCTGCTCTTACAGAGTTAACATTCCAATTACTAGACTAAAAAAGGAAATAAATAGGCTTTATTTGGTTTTTGGCTCAAGAAATTTGAATGTTCATGTCATGTTGAAGTACTTCCTGGATTGTGTCAAAAGGACACAGAGCCAAAGTATTAATTTGAGAAGATCTACCACATTTACTTTAGTTTGACGTCAATATCTCTGTCACAACTGGTTCTACCAAATTGATTTCCATTGGTCACAAGCAATCGGTTATTTTAATTGCAGGGAGAGGGAAAAGAAAATCAATAGTAATTTCTCTCTTCAGTCTTTTATACAAGAATTAGCATCAGTTAAAAGTATCACCTTTAGTTTATACCCAGAAGAACTGAAAGCAGGGGGGCGAACAGGCTCCTTATTGTTCCTAACATTATTATTCACAATAGTTAAGAGGTGAGGACAATCTCTGTACCCATTAGCAGGCAAATGGATGGGCATAATGAGGTCAAACATACAGTGGAATTTTATTCAGTCTTACAAAACAAGGAAGTGTTGACATTTGCTACATTGTGGATAAATCCTGAAGATAATATGCTAAGTGAAATCTGCAAGAAACAAATAGGCAAAAGTATAATTGATTCCACTTCTCTGAGGTTCCTACAAGAGTCACATTCGTACGGGCAGTGGAAAGAGGGGGGGGGCGAGGTAATTAGGGTTCAGTGGTTGCAGAGCTTCAATTTGGACAATCTTTATTTCTAATTTTTTAAAAAATTTTATTTAGATATTTTATTTATTTCTGAGAGAGAAAGAGAGCAGGCGAAGGTCAGAGAGAGAGGGAGACAGAATCTGAAACAGGCTCCAGGCTCCGAGCTGGCAGCACAGAGCCCGACACAGGTATCGAACCCATGAACCGTGAGATTATGACCTGAGCCAAAGTCGGACGCTTAACCGACTGAGCCACCCAGGCACCCCCCAGAGTTTCAATTTGGGAAAAAGAAAAGTGCTACCCAGGAATGGTGACGGTGGCACAATAATGGACATATGTTTAAGGTAACTGATTTGGACACTGAAAAATAGTTAAAATGGTGAATTTAATGATGGGTATTTTAGCACTGTAAAAGAAAACTCCCAAAGGAAAGGGAGCATGTCCAATGTTGGCAGAATATGAAAAGTGTTCCGTTCAAACCATTATTTGTCCATGGTATCCATCCCTCCTAAGTTGATTACATGTGAATCTTACAGCCAGATTCAGGACCAAAGATTTGTGTTAGTCCCCTTGTTTGTATTGATTATGTATCTTGGGGTTTTAACATTTTATTCTCTAACATGCCATCATTGCTTTCCTTCCCGGCTGCGGCTGTTTGCAAGGGATGCCTCCTGTTTCCAGCACCTTCCCTGTTAAAAAAGCCCTGTTTGGGGGCAGGGCCATTCGTTGAATTGCACTAACTGAACTATTCTCTAGTAATGAAAAATGACTGACACATTTGCTTACATCAGACTAACAGACC